GTTTCGTCGGAACGAATTTACGGGAAATCAATTAACGAACGGAGACGTAACACTATGATATATCCCGTATTTAAAAACTAAGACATAACATATACGTCTGCTTTTAAGTGTTGATAAAATTATATCATGTTAAACAATTTTATTGTACATTTCACTTCCAAATAGCATTTTACTTCGTTAACAAACTCAAAACATATTTTTAAAACCTGTGAGGTTGTATATACTTCTTATGTTTCATTAACGAAATGGTCACACACAGACACGCATATATATAACTTTTTTTTTTTTAAACTATAGTTTATGTATTTCTTGACATTGTCGTCGAGTTCTGTGTTGAAAACTGAAGGTGATAGTAATTTAGGGCTAGAACTAGCACGGTTAATTAAGTTATATAGATATTAAAAATCGAATTAATAAAAATGTGTGAAGACTGTGTTAAAGAAGAGTACCCTGACCGAGTACGTTTTTCTTAAGATTGTAATTAACGGGTAGGGCTTAAGTTTAAGATTCTTTATGTTAAAAAGAAACGAGAAATATCAAATATAATTTAGTGTCAGGAGGCGTCGCCGTGGACAGTGGAGTAAATCAATGAATCATTTAATGTACAAAGCGAAGTTCTATTGGTTCTAAATTAATCTTATTCTTGGTTTCTTCTATTTATTATGGTCTTAATAGCATTAATTTAATGATTATTAAGCAACAATTACTAACAGAAAAAGTTAATAATGTAGAAATATAAAATTGTAGTTATACTAGAAATACAAGTAGAACTCAATATAAGGATAAGTATAACTAAGTGTAGTATAACATATACTTTAACTTTGTTGATGTCAAACTTAAGGTAATATTTTGTAGTTCTACATTTACAAAAATATTGGAAATTATATAATCTACAGTGACACTGGGCATGAACGCTAAAGCATGAGAATAATAATTTAATGTTCAAAAGATGATAAGGAGCCATTTTACCTATTCAGAGCCATGACTATCTATAATTCAGTATAATTATAAGGGTACCAAGGTCACGTCTTGGGTTGTTTTTTAGCTTCCTTCACTCTTACATACTTGCATATATTAATTAGAATTGGAAATTACAGGTTGAAGCTTAAGTTTTACTCAGTAGAATGTTGAGTTTTGTTATGGTGATGGGCTTGTCTTCATTTAGGTTGTCCCATTATTTCTACTATTACAACTTCAAACAACATATAGAAACCTCTGACCCTAATCTATCAAACACTCATCCAGTTACTTTTCAACTTCAGTGATGTAATTTCAAACACACCTGAACTTGGGCAAAATATTCCAAATCTAGTGTATTACCTACATCCAGACTTGTAAGTCATAACTTTCTAACACCATGCTATCTTCTTTCCTAGGCTCGACTGTGAAAGGAAAACACAACCATATTATTCAACCACTTGGACAACCCAATAATAAAATGATTGTCCAGATCTTTAACAATTTTTTTTACCTGAATCAAGTCTAAGCCTCCTGCATTTTAGAGAAAACAAGCCTGTTCTCATAGTTTATATGACCTTAGCCAGGTATCATTGTAGTGGCCAGTCTCTGTACTCATTCCAACATGCTGATATTCTTATTTTAGTTAGGCGTGCAGATTTATTACAACACCTCATTACTCCTGTAGGCTTGACTTGTTTTGTCTATGAAATCAAACCACTGTAATTTAAAATGCTGGAAAAGTATTAAAATAGGAAAATTTGTAGTCTGGCATGATAATTAAAAAGCTTTAAGATATGAACTTATAAAGATGAGAGGTGTTAAGTTAGAGATTTTGGAAACTAATAAATAAGGTGTTTGCTTTGTTAAAAGATATTGCAAATACTTGATATTTTATTTCTGCTACAGTGTTATTTATTTTAAAGGTTTTTTCTGGTTAATTTTTTTGATTTATTATTATCATTATTTTGTGGTTTTGGATCTTAACAATGTTGTTTTTTAATTTCTTGAATATTGTTGTTTGTATTTTGAGATAAGAGATATTTACAAATTTCTGGCCAGTCACACCTTTATCAGTGTAATATTTTGAAAAGCTTGTGTTATGTTTAATAAGTTTTAATTTTTCACATACTGGTAGTAACATAGTTGATTTGATATTACAATCATTATGCTTATAAATATACTTTAATCTTCCCTCACTTTAACCACTAGCAACAGAGCACTGCTTCATTGTCTTGAGTGACTCCTCTGCCACAATTCCATGATCCTTTTCTTCAATCATCCTTTTAAGTAGGTTCCCATCTGTATTAAATATGTTATTCAAATTGTGATAATAAACAAACACATTACCTTATACTTATTGAAGGTAATTTGCCAAATATTTATCAAACTTGCCAATTGATACAAGTCATTATGTAATTCGTCAACATCCTCAATACAACTTGAAGTACCCAAGAGTTTAATATTGTCAGTAAACTCTACTAATTGCTAAATTATGCCCCTATCAGAATCATTAATTTAAACAAGAAAAATTATAGGCTTAAGTTCTGACCCATGAGGCTCTCCACTAATAACAAAGTAGATTTTGACTAGAATCCATTAATAATGTAATAACAATCTTTGAATATGTAAAAATTTAAAGGCTACAAGGTAAAAAATATATTTACAATCATTTCCAAATAAACAAGAAACTATGGTAGTAAATGAGAACTATATCAAAAACTCGTGCAGAAGTAGAAAAAAAGGAAAATTGAGAGTTACTTGTATATACATTGTATACTAAATATATGCACAAGTTACATGCTGTTTTACTATCAGCATTACACATTGTATGTAAGAGCAGTAGAATCCAAAAACAGTTTTATAAAGTAGTTTTTCATTGCTTGAAATGAATGTGAAATTCATTTCATTATTCAATACTTTTATATAGTTATGTGTACATTTTTAAAGTTTATTTACATAGTTCTTATTTGGCTGTGTCATTTTAGTCTAAAATTAATATTGCACCATTTACTTTATCTTTTAGGGCCGAATGTGCTTGGATACAGGCTCTTATCTTTTAAACTTCAGAAAATGTTATTTTTGTGACCATAAGGAAGAAATGCAAGTTATAAACAAGCAACAAAATGGCCAGGACTCGGAAGAAGAGTTTGTAACATATGAACGTAAGACACTATTTTTAGTTACTTGATCAGTCCTAAATGTTTAAGATTCTTTTTTTTGTTTTCATTTTAGCATTATACAACTATATAAATGTACATATTTACCAGAGGAAAATAATAAATTTTACAGTTATAAGCAAGTTATAATTCACACTCAAAGTACAGTTATTTAGAACCTTGTTTTCAAACTTTTAATTGTAAATAATCATTAGTGTTGTTTTTCTCTGTTGACTACACATCTACATAAGAGATTTTTAAAAGTGATTTGCAAATATTAGTCATTCTTCAATAGAAATGTTTCTGGAAAATTGGAACTAGTTATATTCTGATGAAGTAACATAATTGGCTCCAGATACAATTTTGTATACATGAATAGGTAAAACCATTTAAATACGTAACACATTTTGTAAAAATGTTAGTCATGTGTGAACTGTTAACTTTAAAAGTAGCATACATTTAGAAGATAGTGCCATTTGATAAGTAAGGTTTGAGTATAAATATGCAAACTTTATTTTCATTACCTACAGGACTAAATATATCTCAAAATGCAATCAAATTTGAAAAATAATAATTTATAAAAACATTAATGCTAATATGTATTTATGCTAATAAATGTAAGTTTAAGCTTAACAATTCAATGGGGTCAAAAATGTTTGCCTGCTTTTAGTATGTCAGCTGAAATATGTATTTTAAAGTAAAATATTTAGTATTATGTTTAAAAAAGAAATCCTTTCTACAGTAGTTCTAATAACAAGTTTCATTTATTTGTCAAAATTTCTTAAAATGTCAATAGAAATTTACCTTGTGCAAGGTGTAATTTGATGTAAGCTTACAATTTATGTGATATTGGTATTGCATTGTCTTGGTTCATAAATTGCGGATTGCAACTTACTTTAGATTTGGGATTCTAATGCTACAAGGTTTGATTGTGCATATACTGTTCAATTATTTCTAGTGTGACTTAGTAAAAATCAGTTTTTGTTTTTCCAGTGTTATCAACTAAGTCTTATTACTAGCATTAGTTTCATACTCATAAAATTGTAAAATGGAGCTAATAAAATAATAATTAAATTGCTTATTCTGACATTCTTTGGTATAAAGATTTACTGAAGCTTGAGGAAGTTTTATTATTTTCTTTTACAATGAACAAAGTATGAGTTGTCTAAGGCTAAAATGCAAAATTTTCAAAATAAATGATTAGTAATTCCCATGGACTTCTTATTCAATGTTTTTGAAGCATTGCTCCTAGTTTCCTTACATTTCTTCTTAGAGCAGTGGAGGTTAATTTAGTTCTTTCATAATAGGAAAAATTGTAAAAGTAAATACTTCAAGATAGATATGTTCCTTATAGACAAAAAATGGTGGTCACAAGAAAAAAAAAAACTTATTAGACAGAGATATCTTATTTTTTTAAGTGTGTTTACTGACCTCTTATATTTGACACTTTCGTCTGATTCCTTTCCTCCACCAGTCCATTTTAGGGGGAGTTCCAGGTTCTCTGTAATCTCATATGGAGGCTGCACATAATGACTCTTCCATTTCTTCTATGGTTTCCCATCTTTCGCAAGATTCTCTTGCATCTGTAACTCTACGTACCCCATCCTCCAACTTCCTCTTTTTTGTTTCTCCATCATATGTTTGTGCTTCAGTCTTTCATTACTCTCACCCTTGACTTCAGCACTGTCAGTATTGATAGTGACTATCCGTTAGGTTCGGGAACAGTTGGCTTAATTTGCAGACCTTTGGCACTCATTTGCAGCTGATTGTTGGGTCCTTCAGGTGTTGTCAGGAGGCCTGACTCTTCCTTTTTCCTCTCCTTCTCCTTTGTCTCCCATTCCCATTTATTTCCCTCCTCTTCAGGATCCAGTTTGTTGCCAGCATCTGTACAAAGCTGTGTTGGACCAGGTTTTTATTCCTGTCTGTTTGTCATCCCCAAGAAAACAGGGGATTGGTGTTCAGCTATAGATCTTTTGAGCCTCAACTGCTTCATCAACCTCCCTCATTTTATATGGAGTCTTTTCTCATTCACAGATGGTCCTTTGCTCCAGGTCTTTAGATGACCAAGGTTGGCATCTCAGATGCTTACCTTAATATTCCCATTTCCCTTGCTTCTAGGTGTTACCTTTAGTTGTTCACTGAGGTCAGGTGTTTCAATTTTGTAGTGACCCTTTTGACCTAGTTTCAGCCCAGTCCGTTTTTTGTTGGGTATTCAAGGTTTTTGCTCATCACATTTGTGGCCCGAGACTGCAGTTTCACCATTATATGGATGACTGGCTTCTTTTGGCTCCATCCCAACAAGTCTCCTATGAGCATACTCCTCTTCTCCTTCAAGATTCAGCTTGTTCAGATTGGAGTGTCAAACTGGAGAAGTCGCATCTTACACCTACTCAATATTTCATTCATTTGGGTGTGTTTTTCAATTCATATTTCAGCAGGGCCCAGTCTTCTCCTTTTCATTTGAGAGACATGAAGCAATTAGTTTTCAATGCCATATCCTCTCCTACTCTCACCACATGGGAGGTTCTATCTCTTTTGGGGACTTGGGCTTCCATGGAATCCCTTATCCTTTTAGGTCATGCTCACATGCATCGTTTTCAATGGACTCTGCATGATCAGTGGAACCTCACTGAGGATCCCTTGTCCTCCCACATTCAGCTTCTTTGCTTGTCATCTTCTCCTTATGGCTCAACAAAGCCTAAACCATAGCAGGTTTTCTTCATCCTTCCTCTCATCTAGATTTTCATGTGTTTACAATTGAGTCCTGATGGGATAGGGGGCATATTTAGACTCTCAAGTGATTTTGAGTTGGTGGTTCCATGACGAATCATCCTTTCATATCAATCTCTTGGAACTTTTGATGGTATTTTGAGAAGTTGAATCATTTTCTTCCAGTGGTTCATGGACATTGAGTGATGTTCCATACAGACACCTCTACAGTAGTCTCTTATATCAATTGCCAGGAAGGCACCCAGTCTTATTTTCTCTGTTTTCTAGGCATGGCATGTCCTGGTGGTTAGGGTGTTCAACTGGCAGTCTTTGTGTCACAGATTCGAATCCCCTTTACACCAAACATGCGGACCCTTTCAGATGTGGGGGCATTATAAAGTAATGGTCAGTTCTACTATTTGTTGGTGAAATAGTAGCCCAAGGGTTGGTAGTGAGCAATGTTGACTAGCAGCCTTCCCTCTAGTCTATCACTGCGAAATTAGAGACAGCTAGCGTAGATAGCTCTCAAGTAATTTTGCACAAAATTCAAACCAAACCAAACTCTGTTTCCACACTCTTGACTTCCTTCTATGGGCCAATTCCTTACAAGTACATCTTATTGCTTGTCATATTTTGGATGCCCTGAATCTTGTCGCAGATTGTCTCTCGAGACCCAACAAGATACTACCTATGGAGGTCCCTTGATCCTCTGGCACTGCTCTTCGGGATGCTTTTGCCACTCATGTCAACATCAAACTTCCCTTTTTCTGTTACCTTGTTCCTCATCCTGCAGCTCTAGCTGTGGATGCATTCTGTAAGGACTGGTACAACCTTTTACTCTGTGCCTACCTTCCTATACATCTTCATCTTCATGTGCTTTCTCTGTACTGGCTGGCTCATCCATAGTTTCCTCTATTGAACCTTCTTTGGTTCTCTCCTCCTCTACCTCTGTCGTGCTCCCTACTTCTTCAGCTTCATTTCTCCCTCTCACATTCAATTATATCAGCATTCTATCTTCATGCTTGGGTTTTGCCTGTCCCCATGAAAAAGGTTCAGGACTCTTTTTCACATGTAGCTTTCCTTCTTCAATTTATTCTTCCTCCCTCCTTTTCTATCAATGAAAATGGCCCATATTTTTCCATCTTTCTGAATTTTTTACGTAGCTGTTCAACCAAGGCTTCTCGCTTTTGTCCATTGCTGGCTACAGGGCTGCACAATCTACTACTGTTAGGTTTTCCCATTATCATCATGTCTTCTCCTCATCTATCCTCTCCATGTTCTTATTTGCTTTCTTCATCATCCACATCCTGCTGTCCTCCCTGATTGGGACCTGAATGTTGTTCTCTAGGCACCTTATTGTTCCTCTCTTTAAGCCTTTAGTCTCTTATTCATTGTACCATCTTTCACTTAAAAACCTTTTTTTTTGGCTTTGATTGTAGGTAATCTGACATGTATGCCATTGATGCTTCTCATAATATTTCCCATCAGTCTTATATTCTTTTTTATCCTGATCATGTTTTTCTCCCTAAAACATCTGCAGCTTGTGAAGAGGATAGTGTGTTCACCCATATTTCCCTTTCATCTACTTCTCGCCTTGTCTTCTCTGTCCCATTTGAATGATTAGATTTTATTTGGCCTGCACTGTTCCTTTTCGTAGTTCATGCTCCAGTCTCTTTATTCTTTGGAATTCATCTTCTACCTGAGGTATTTCTCCCATTACTTTGATGGGATAGCTATGGCAGCTTTTCTGTCTAGCCTATATTTCTTTGGACAAAGATTCATGTTGATTCTTTCAGGTCTCCTCTCACCAACTCTAACACCCTGACTCTTTCTCTGGCTGCCTCTTTGTCAGAATATTGACTTCCTCCCATCACCATTCTGCATTGGCCTTACTGGCTCTGACTGTGTAAGTTCTTTTTGTTTCTCTCTTACCTTTATAAGGCCCCTATTCCACGTAAGGATCCTACTAAGTGGCATGCAGTGATGCCATGGTATACTTATACTTAAATCAACACTCTGCTGCCATTTAGGTCTGTAACACTCACTGGTGAGATGGATTGTTCCACAGGACTGCTAAGGATTTCCTCACAGTAGGTTATTTAATAGGAAAGACCTGATCCAGACTGCCTACTCATGGACTATCATGATAAAGCAGTGTTGAGATAGCTGCTCATCCCTTTGGTTCTAGTTGAATAAACTGGACTAGCCTACTTTTAAAAATAGGGTTTTGGGATCACCCATTGCACTTTCTTAACCCTTTCACTGTGTAATTAGAGGTCACAGTCAGTCCCCAATCA